GTTTGGATTTAATTCAGAGCCGCGCATAGTTGTTACGGACGTGACTCGTATCTTTTCTCTTTGCCAGTCATGGCATGGCCTACTTTGATTATACTCGATCGTATGTACAATGTCATGACACATCATAGGAAACGTAATTTATGAGGAGTGCATCAACACCAACAAATTGGCGGAAAAATTTAATTAGGGAACACATGGTGTAAGAATATAGGTGAAGCGGTGCACAAGTTTTATGACGTCAACATCGGTATTGTCACGACCGCCTACAAACTGCCATGGCTTTATTTATTGTTTCGGCCTTTACTTGATGAAAATTCATTTAATTTTGAAAGAGTAAAACCAAATTTGGTAGATTTTCACACTTTTATTTTAAAAATAAAAATTTTTAAACAAACACTAACATGACATATGTTTCGAAGTACAACTTCTTTTTCAAATGTGACTATTTACAATTCGGTATCCAATATATATACAAAATAATTTAACAAAACAAAGTATTTAAGAAAACATCAATAACATTACAAAATAAACTAACTATTTAAAGTAAATAAGGGTACTTAGGTAATTATAATATCCATCAAATAACAATAAGATAGCCCATTACCGGGATTATCTCACAGAAAACTGGGAAAAAGGTTTAATAAGGGTGAATTATTAATATCTAATTGATCATTTAGTAAGTTATCTGAATTTTTAAATCTATTTATTTCAAGTGTTTCTAAATGGTTTAATTTAAGGCTCTTATTTTCTACATGTAAAATTTCAAAGTTGTCTGTAAAAGAATGATTTTCAGCTAAAATATGATTTGAGTAAGTAGAATTATTTTTGTTTTTTGTATAGCTATTATAATGTTCGGAATAGCGTTTTTTGAAAGTACGGCCTGTTTGACCAGGTCGTACATAAGGTTTACTTTATAATCTATATTTATTTGGCTCCTGGAGTTCTAGGATTGACGAATTTTTCTGTTACACTCTTGCAGGTGCAAATCTATATTTGATTTGGTGTATTTTTAGTTATTTCTGTTAGTTCATCACGAAATCTTTCAATAGTTTTGTCTAAAATAAATTTTTTATTTTGGTGGTCACATCTGAAACAATGATATAGAGTTAATATTGAAGTAAAAACAATGAATTTTTAATTAAACATTTCTGTTTAATTCCTTGTAATATTCATTAGTTTCACATGCTAAGTTGTGTAATTTTCATTTCAAAGCCACAGGTTGTGACAGGCTTCTGGTTCACCTACAGTGAATCAGCGAGTCTGTGTGGCGCTATGAAGGTAATTCCCGAATAGGGGTTGCTCAGGCGCCAGTTTTGGTATCGCAGTTTGCTGTGCGACCCTGTGGTACACCAGAGTGTACTCAAGGTGAACTCAGTGGAGGTAAATAATTCCAGGCGGTCACAGCTAGGTAGCCACTATACTAAAATAAATAAAAATAAAACACTTATCTCCTTTACACCTCGTACCCTACGGTACCCTGAAAAGAACGGTTAAGAACCAGAAATAAGAGAAACACAGGAATAGGTAATAAAATATATATTTACAAAAAAAATAATACAACGGTAATTAAATATGAACGGCTCCCTATATGCGGAAAACCTTTTAAAAATAAATTATTACCAATGAAAACTAATTAAATATTAACGGCTCCCTATATGCGGAAAATTTATTAAAAATAAATTATTACCAATGAAAACTAATTAAATATTAACGGTTTAAAGTCTCTCTCATGTAGACATCTGGTAGTCCGTAGCTTCTACAAGAGAGAAACCCTTTCCACGAGCTGTTATAAAGACTAGGGGCTGAAACAGCTCTGATTATCGAAGGGGGGAAGCAAGCGAATACCGCTATCACCCCCTGATTAACGCGAAAATGGATGAAGGGTGCGAGTGCCCCCGGATTTAAATCCAATTTACTTTATTACCTTGTTAGATACTAAGGAAATTAAAAGTTCGTATTACCTTTTACTAGTACGGGAAAATATTTACGGTTCGCTAGCACAGGAGGCCAAGCGGTCCGGGAATTATGAAACTTCCTATATACGGAAAATTTATTAAAAACAATTTAAATATGACGGTAATCAAATGCAAGCAAATAAATGAAATCAAATAGTAGAAAATACTAAAGTGGTGCTAGAAGTGATAATGTAGAAAGTAAGGAAGTAGGACGTCGGGATGTTGGGCGTCGAGACGTTGACAACTTCGGGGATAGGAGGTATTGTAGGATAGACGTCGTTTAGGAGGAACGTTTTAGAAAAGGTACAGACTATATAACTGGATACAAATAATAAAGTGATTGCTTGAACGTAAAATAATAAAATGAATGCTTGCACATCAAATAGTAAAAAAATTAATGAATCCGAGCTCATTTGGTTTCGGTTTCTTATAATCGTTTTAATGGCTCTTTTTGTGACGTCAGTTTCTTAGTTTCCAGCGAAAAACGAATTAGGGTGGAAAGAAAAGTGGTTGGTAAATTTATTATGTGCCTTGAGAGCTTTGTGTTTTCGAAAACCAAAATACTTAATATTTGTTACCTTTGTTTTTCGCGAATAGTTCTTGTAGCCAAACACTGCACAACCTAGCTAGTAACTTCACTTCCTAAAATAGTAGATTTTATTGTATCAATAATATAATTAGAAACTATTTTAGTATCTTTAAAATACAGCAAAAATATGACATAACCTAACTTTATATCAGTTACACTATCAATTTAATTAGAAATTAATTGAATAATACGTACCAATAATTACTAAAAAGACATCTTGATATATAAAAATAATATTAAATTTTAAGATAAATATATCTATAAAGTTCTAAGCACCATCAGAAAAATATTAAAATAACTTAAAAACTCGCCTTTTAACATTGGAGGCATAATAAATATCTGCTTCGAAAGTGACGTCATGCGCAAGACTGACCGAATTTCGTACCGCTAACCGCTTCACCTGTATTTTTCAACCATGGGGAACGCTCAAACAGTGTCAAACACTCTTCTGAGATGGTCATGCGTATGAATGTTAGATCTGAAGTAATAAATCGCTACACTCATCGTGGGGATAACTTTCTCCTCTTTAAAACGTCATTTAAAATATGGTGTCTTTGCACTTTCGATATGCCCACAACTTCAGCTATTTCATCCAGTTTCGGCCGGCGATCACTTAAAACTATTTAATGAACTTTTTGTACAATTACTTCAGAACCCAACAAACATTTTGTGTAGGGGAATAAAAGACCCATTGTTACCCACTGTTACCCTCCAATTATAATTATGTTCATTTAACTTTTATAATTAAAAGGCCGACAGTCGGGCCGAAGTCAATGAGCCATCAAATCCAGTTAATAGGCCTCCATTTTCCCTTTAATGTTTAGAAATAAATATATTGACAATTAATGGCATATTGATGAGAAATTAACGAAAAGTGCAGGCCTTTTACAAATAATACTGACTGCTGAATAAAAGCTATGTGCCAGGCACATGGCCAGACAGGCGCAGGCGATTCAACAGTGCCTTTTTTTTGTCTGTTTGAACTATAAATTCTATACTAAAACAGAAGGCATTACAATATAGTATATTGTAGACATTTTATTTAATTCAGATATTTTATAATAATAGAGAAAAAATGTCTTCTACAAAAAGTATATTCATAAAATATTCTACATTAACATGCAAAAGTAATAAATTACAATGAATACTGAATAGTGAATACCAGCAATCCGAGACTGGCCGCATCAGTGTTGTCAGTCTAGTACAATTGTAATAGAATACATTCTCTGAGAATCTAGTACTCTAGTGCACTCAAAGCAAAATCTAGTACTATCTTTTTTCAGCGTATGCTGTAAAATTACCAGGCCCACAAACTTGCCATGTTATAACCTGTCAAAACCCACTGGGAGTTATTTTGATTGGAATGCCCAATTGTTGGAGTCTTCCTTATTTTTTGTGTTCTTGTTCTCTTTTTTTGTTCTTTAATGACCACACTTCACAATTAGAAAAATCTGGTAGATTTTATAGAATCTGGTACTTTTTTATGGAATCTGGTACATTTTTTAGACAAATCTGGTACATAACAAAAATATTTTCTGGCAACACTGGGCCGCTATTCGTCGCATTCATTTTCCCTTCAATTACAGCAAAAGGCCAGAAATATCCCGACAATTGATTGTGTGTTGGGAAGTTGCCAGTTTTGGCCTGTAGGAACGTGGGGCTTCTGCAGTGCTCGTATAACCACGTTTAAAGTCTACAACCGTGGAAAACGAAGGTTCTGACTCACCTAAAGTAGCATCTTACTCTACTTTAATATACGTAGCAGATTTGGAAATATTTTATAATTTAACTGATCTCAATTTTTTCATTGTTTGATAAAACGTAAAACTTTATAACAACTGTAAACTATAAACAACTTGACGTGCTCTCTCCAAACTTTGAAGCTAAACTAACAAAGCATGGGGCTTACATGCTACTTAAAATATGTAGTCATGTGACCGCAAATCTCGCCTTCTGTGGGTTAAGCCGGAAATTTTTCATCCCATCCTCGTATCTCTTTATTATCAAACGTTTTTTGTTTTTCCATTTTCCACATAGGTACATACTTTTGGAATTCCTTGTATATTGGATATTTGTTGGTAACTACTATCTTATCCTCGCCTTGATAAAGTGTATCTAATTCATAAAACTGGCAATTATGACATCACATGATGCTAATAATTTGTTAAACGCGGTACAATTTCTCATTCGGTGCAAAACTCAAAACTCAAAAGACATTATTTTCGTTTATATTCAGTGACTCACTACCTATTCTTTCTAAAAATTTTAGTCAGTGATAGAAAATTGTGTGGATATTTTTATACTTATATTGAAAACGTGCCAGTGTATTCACAGTTTAGTTGTTATACTCGTTGTATGTCTGATACGAAAACTTGTGCCATTAGTTTGTTTCAATTGAAGGATCAAATATATTTTCGTGACTTCAGTCCGTAATCGTAAAAATTTAAACTAGCAAAATGTGTTCGCGTGGAGTGTATTTGCCCACGACCCCCGATGAATTGGGTGTTGTTAATGCACCTAATTTTCTCAGAGTTAATTCATTCGTGGACGACGATAAAGGACCTGAAGGTAAAATATCTAATTTTTATGATCAATTGATTCTGTTTAATATCCGCCACTTAAAAATAAATACGTTGTTTATTTTTTTGCTTTAAATACGAGTATATTAAGGTAATTACTCCTAAATTACTGTTTTTTTAATAGTGGGTGGATTTTTGCTCACCTGTAAGTCAAATGGCAACATCAATCATTATGTAACTGGCCCCGGAGAGCCACGGCAAATAATAATATAAGTAGCTGTCTCTTCCCCGCACTAGCTCATTCGGCTTCAGGGGTTAATAAAATCACTTGTAAGGCGATTAATTATAGGGAGAGTATTATTATTATATTATATTAAGTTGAAGGATCCAAGGATCTTCTATGCATTCTTTGTTTGCTTTTTTAGTGTTAATAACTATATCAGCGATGTGCTACATTTACATAGGCTAAACAAACAAGGGAAACAATAGAAATGGTTTATTACCAATCCGGTTGCTAGGACATATTATGTGATGCCACAACATTTACTTTATTTCTTTTAAAGGAAAGATAAAAACATTTTTAGTTAAGAATAAAAGATTATCCGTTTTTTCTAATGTGCATAGTTAGTTCTCAAGTAAGAATAAAAACCCGAAATTAATACCCTACAAATATTTAAAAATTAAAAAAGAAATAAATAAATTGTCGCGACTAGTTTCAGCTTATATGTCTCAGGCATAAAATTAAATTTACATTTAGTAACAAACTCAATCCATCAACATGTTTATCAACCAACGAGATTTTGATTAAATAATTAACCATTTATCTTAGATCTTATCTTCACCAACGATGATCAACTCATTTCAGCACTTAATTATCTCTCTTCGATTGGTATATCGGATCACTTAGTTATATCAGCATCTATACAAACAACTTTTGATAACACAAAAACGAATACCTCCAATACTTATTCAGTAACTGATTATGAATCTTTTTTCTGAACTAACTGGCTAACGCTTCTAAAATCTCTAGATGATATTTATGTTATGTAGGATACATTTCACATAATTATATTTAGTACGATTAATAGATACACACGTACAAATTGTTTTCGCAAAAATCCTTTCAAACCGTTGATCAACGCTGATATAATGTCCTTAATTCATCACAAAAAACGTTTGTGTAGAAAATATAGAACATCAAATGTCTAAACTGACTATCAAATACACAGAAATTTTTCTAATGTACTTTTTTCTACAGTTCGTTCGGGTAGAATTCAATAGGTACAAATAGACCCTTACAAACTCAGACAATCCCAGGGAGATGGGAAAATCCGAAAAAGTTATATAAATATATCCGTAGTAGTCTAAATTGAAAAGTTGGTGTTCTTTTCAGCTCTACCCATAGATTAGGTAAAGTGAATAGATGGGAAACTCAAAGGTAATATTCTGAGTCGATGTGCTGCCATCTATCAAATTGGAGTGGTATTAAAATTCAATAAGGCCGCTTAGCGCGGGCTTTTTGAAATTTAACTTTCTGCTAGTCGCGCAAAAATATAATGAAGAAAATCAAACAAAAAAAAAATAAACTGGCAAAATATTTGACTAGTTTCAAATCATAAAATAACCATATTGACTGTTTTGTGATTTGAAACTAGTCAAACATTTTGCCAATTTATTTTTTTGTTTGATTGTCTTCATTATATTTTTGCATTAATTTCAAACTTGAAATAAAATGCAATTTATTTTTTTTTTTATTACAGTAAATTAACGCCGCATCATATAATTTGTCTATTTAAACATGGAAATACTCAAACAAATATGCATTTATACCATTTAAATAATTAAATATTTATCAAACAAACCTATCAAAAATGTTTTCTGTAACAAAATCGACATATATAAGTGCTCAAGACCAATATAAAAGTTTTGCGACTTTTGGAGTGGCAATAAGTTTGAAAAAATTGAAGTTGAAGCATCATCCTTTTGATGACTTACTATCAAGGTGAATTTGAGGGTGGATAAAATTTGCCACATGCTTATTGAGTCGACTAGTTAAGTTAAGGAACATTTCTTTATCCGATATTGTTTTCTTGATTCATTTATACAGCACTTGTAGTTATCAAATTTTTATTCATTATGCGGGCACTGTGATAAATGCATTTAACTTTCGAGCTTAAATTAAACTTACACACGTTTGGACCTTTAAAAATTTTGGGGTGTTTTCTTGTTTGATGTCAATGGCATTGAATCAAATTTTGATATAAGGCTCAAATATTTCATCGATCTACAGGGTATTTTGAAGGGTCAACATTTTCTTTACAACAATAATCATTTAAAAACTGAAAACGAAAAGAAATTTAAATAACAATAGTATATTATGCAACGATCATGTAATGATGGTTATTAATACACGAGCATTAACCGGGATACGAAACGAGCCAAAGGCGAGTTTCGTATGGTTTATGCGAGTGTTTTAATAACCATTACATGAGAGTTGCATACGCTATTTTTTCTACACCCGATAAATAATCAAGACCTATAAATATTCTATTTATATTGGTATTGAACACAATAACAGTAATTACTCGTATTTCTATAAAAAATTCTACAAAATTGTAATTAATGGTATTACCTTGGGTACTGGTATTACCACAGATTTTTGGGGCAAAATATTTTGTACTGCATTTTCTCCTATATGTGTGGAGGAGTGTTCTATATCGCTGATATCAGACATTTTAATATTATAATTATCGAAGTTTAGCTATCTACGAAAATTTAATACGTTTTGACAACTAAAACAATTACATAGGAATTTAGGACAAACGTCAAACATCATGCTTGATTGAAAAATTGTAGGTTTCTATTGATTAAAAATCTGTATCATAATGAAAAATCTGTATCATAATGGGTATCATTATGAAACGGATTATGGGCATATAAGTGCATTATTATAATACGGGTGTAGAAAAACCAATTATTTTAACACTGAATCAAAAACAAGTTTGTAAGTATTACTTACCATTGATGCGTACAAAAAAGCATTTTTCTTAAGACACTTATTATAAATTGTTTGGTTATCCTTAATATGACGACCGCATATTTAATACAGTTCATCAAATTTCTAGAGGCTTTCGACGGCTAGACAGAGAAAGCACTACTGACAGGCATCCCGACGGATTTACGCAATGAAAGTACACTCTGCGCATCAAGTATTTCACTATTTCATTCAGACGTAAATGTCAGATGTAAATTTCGCTAAAACATTTCTTTTATTTTCGTTTGTGTTTTTTTGCTCATTACAGTTTAATAGAACCTAAGTAATAGCAAATTAAGAGGCCGCGTGATTAACAGTCAATCTCGCGAAATAATAGCCAATGTTATAGAGTTTATGAGAAGAGAAGGAAACTTTAATTCACCTTCAATACCATTTAAAAATGTAAATGATCGTGTTGCTGCAGCCACAGGAGTATCTAAAAACACTGTCGTCCGCATTTCTGGAGAGAAAAAAAGAATCGATAACCGTGAGATATCGGAATTTTCATCACCAAGAAAAACCATTAAAAAACCAAAAACAGTTAATGATATAGATGAAGCTGCACAAGAATCAAATTTTATTTTTTTATTATTAGATAGCTATTTTTGTTTCTGAGTTGTGTTCATTTACAGGCTCAATTTTTTTCCGTTTCTCCTTTTTGATTTTATATGGGGTTTCAAGTTGTTTTTGACTTATTTCGACGTAAATCACAACAACACACTTTTTTAATAAAGCAAACAAGTGTTAAGAGGTATATGTACGTGTAAACTACAATTACAAAAAATTGATATGAAACCACCAACAAAAATGTAAAGCCAGCTTCCGTACTAGAACATGGTGTCATTCGTCGAGATAATTTATCGTTTTGTTTAGTAGATCAAGAAATGTAAATATTCCCCTGTTATTTTTTATAAAATTATAAGAGAAATAAATTTTTTTCTAAATAGTATAGTTTATTATTTTGTAGAAAAACAAAATTTCGAAAATTTTACTAATGTTTCAGAAACAACCGTTATTAATAATAGGTACCATTTTCCTTAATAAGGTAGAAATAAAATATAAACTATTTCCACGATTTACAAAGGCCTACAAAAAAATTATAGGTATTTTCCGCTATCCTATAAAATTTATATTTTCTGACTCAATTTCAAAAGGTTGAAGGAATTCCAAAACACCTTTTATGGCATAATAATTATTTTCAATTCTACATACTATCTTTAGCTGCTTTTAAAAACGTTCTAAGAAAGTCCAATCAGACCAATTTAATCCCTAAACTATTCCACACTTTTAAAATTTAATTACCTAAAAATATTAAAAACTATTTAAAATAACTTGTTTAGCAGACTGTACAATAGCTATCTTAGTCACACGTAGCGCGTTCTCTGTCTGGGCGTCGAACACCTCTAGAAATTTGATGAACTGTACGTGGTATAAATTGCATCACTACCAATATCTGGGAGTGCTTTATTGTTCGTTGCTGAAATCCATGTTCCCATCTCTTGAAAACATGCTTAAAATTGGAAGGTGTTGAAAAATAAATCTAGATGAATCAAAAGCTAATACACCTTCAAATGCAACAGCCATTTTAATTTTTCCAAGTTTGAAGTTTTGTTGACAAGCTGACAACTAACATGACATTTCGATACGAGCGCCATCCCGTTAATTGGAGTGGTACTAAATTACCGTCCTCATGTTTTTCCATTTGAGTTACCAGCCCCTTTAAAATGAAGTATAGAGCAATACGATTCCGGAAATTGTAACTCCACATTTAAATGGCACCCCCGAAGTTGTCAAAAAGTACATTACAGAATTTGAAAAACAGCTCTCCGCTCGGCTTTGATCGATTCAAAGATCGATGAAACTTTCGTAAAAAAAACACATGATTTTCTTAGTAGGGTAAAGGTGGAGAATCGCGACCCTCTAAGCCATTTTTCAAATATTCACTTTATTTTTTTCTCAAAAATATTGAAAATTCTGAAAATCAAAGCTTCTAGTATACGGAACAAAACATGTAT